GGTGCTGAATCGAAAGTGGAGCAGCCAGGAAGGACTGGAACTGGCATTCATACAGGTTGCCAGTATTACAAGGCCACAGCTTAACCCACTATGCCACAAGCCAGTCCATGGGCCTGATTTCTTTTAAGTCCTTTATCCCCATAAGCTTTTTTTTTTTTTAAGAACAGTTCACAGTAAAGTAGAGAGGAAGGTACACAGATCTCCCATAGATCCTACATCACCACACATGCATTGTCTCCCCAACTATTAGCATCCCCAGTAGACTGGTACCCGATGAACCTGCTCTGGCATCGTTATCCCCAGTGTCCATAGCTTACATTAGAGTTGCTCTCAATGTTATGTTACTAATTTGAATAAATGCATAATGGCATTGTCCGCCACTGCAGTACCAGACAGAGAAGTTCCATTGCCCTAAAAAGTCCTGCAGTCCATCTTCTCACCCCTCTCTCCTCTGTACCTCTTGGCAGCCACTGATCTTTCACCACCCCCTAATTTAGCCTTTTGCAGAATGTCATATAGGTGGAATCCTGTACTAGGTAGCCTTCTCAGATTTGCTTTTTTCATTTAATAAAATGTATCTCAGTTTCAGGAACAACTTTTATTGTTTTGTTTTTTAAAAGACTTATTTTATTTTACTTTTTCATTGGAAAGGAAGATTTACAGAGAGAAGGAGAGATAGAAAGATCTTCCTTCCACTGGTACACACTCCCCCAAGTGGGCACAATGACCAGAGCTGAACCAATCTGAAGCCAGGATCCAGGAGCTTGTTCTAGGTCTCACATGGGTGCAGGGGCCCAAAGGTCTTGAGCCATGCTCTACTGCTTTCCCAGAAGTAGGGAGCTGGATCAGAAGTGGAGCAGCCAACACTCAACCTGTACCCATACAGGGTACCAGCACTGCAGGAATTAGCCTAGCCTACTATGCCATGACACTGGCTCCAATTGCAATTTACTTATATAGTTTCTACTGAAGGATATCTTGGGTGCTTCCAAGTTTTAGCAATTATGATAAAGGTGCCTTAAGTGTCCCACATTCAAGATTCTGTGCAGACAAAAAAAAAGCTTTCAGTTCATCTGGATGAAAGAGGAGGATGACTGTAGAATCATGTGGTAGGAACATGTTCAGTAGTATAAGAAACTGCCAAGCCAGCTTCCAAAGCGGCCACACCCTCTTGCAGTCTGCAGGCAATGCGAGCTCCTGCGGCTGTGCAGCCTCATGTTCTCAATCGTGGCCAGTCCCCGATGCCGGTGACATATGACGTGGGACACCTTGTCACACACTTATGTGCCTTCTGTAGCTCTTCTCTGGGGCGGTGTCTGGTTGTCTCCAGCCTGGTGCCATGCATGTCTGGGACAGCTTTTGTGCCAATCCATCTTTTTTTTTTTTTTGAAAGGCAGATATACATAGAGGAGGATAAACAGAGAGGAAGATCTTCCATCTGATGGTTCATTCCCCAAGTGGTCACAACAGCTGGAGCTGAGCCAATCTGCAGCCAGGAGCCAGGAGCTCTTCCAGGTCTCCCACGCGTGTGCTGTCCTCAACTGCTGTCCCAGGCCACAAGCAAGGAGCTGGAGGAGAAGCAGGGTTGCCAGGATTAGAACTGGTGCCCATATGGAATCCCGGTGCGTGCAAGTGTGCCAATCCATCTTAGAGCATTCTCTCAGCTATTCCCTTTCTCTTCCTGAATTCACACTGATTTTTTTTTAAGCTTTTGTGAACATTCGTCTGTCTGAACAGACCCATAGAGACCCTGCACCCACATGGGAGACCTGGAAGAAGCTCCAGACTCCTGGCTTTGGATTGGCTCAGCTTTGGCCATTGTGGCCACTTGGGGAATGAACCAGTGGATAGAAGATCTTTCTTTCTGTATATATACCTAATAAAACTAATAAATCAATTTTTTGAAAAAAGAAAAGAAACAGCCCGGGGCTGATGCAACAGCATAGTATGCTAAGCCTCAGCCTGTGGCACTGGCATCAATTTAGGTACCAATTCATGTCCCAGCTCCTCCACTTCTGATTCAGCTCTCTGCTTATAATCTGGGAGAGTAGTGAAGGATAGTTTAAGTCCTTGGGTTCCTGAACCCACCTGCATGAAGCTCTTAGCTCCTGAATCCTGGCTCCTAGCTTTGCATCAGCTCAGCTCTGGCCATTGCAACCATTTAGGGAGTGATCCAGCTATAAAAGATTCATTCTCTCTCTCATAAATAGTGCCAGGAAGGTGAGACTCAGGATGGACAGATGCTCTGCAGCCTTACCCTGGATCAGAGAGCACATGGAAGGTTCCCCCGACGTGCCAGGCTGAGAAACCAGAAACTCATCCAGTGCTCTGGACTCTAGGACGTTGGTTGACCATATGTGTGAGAGGATTGCAGAAATATGTGGGCAAGATGGAATTTAAAAGTTTATTTTGATGCACATTTTTAAAATCCATGCGTAGTTTTGGTAAACTCATCTTTCATCAACTTTTGAAGACCTGAAGACCCCCTGGTATGCTTGGATATGAGCGTTTTTTGCACCAATGTAAATTGGGTTTTTAATTCCATTTTTCTACAGTTTTTCAAAGTGCTGTCTAATAAAGAGCCTTAAGAAAGGAATGCTAGGGTGCTCAGTCATCACGGGGCTCCTCGGGGTCTCTGCCCCTTCCTGGGCTCATCCCACTGACATGTACAGCACAGAGAGCGAGCCACTGCCTGGGCGGCTGCACCAGCATCTGGCACGGGATGGTCCAGAAGGTAGCCTTCCATTCAGCTGCCTTGCCTTGGCCCAGGCAGTCCTCATCAGGTAGCGAGCTGGAGCCCACTTCCCCAGGCCGGGCTGGGCTCGGGCTGGGCTCGGCTTCTCTCCCACTCCCACGGAGACAGAAGCAGCCTGGCCTCCAGAAGAGCCCAGCTTTTATAGCTTGAACTGTGGCTCTGCCACTGAACTCTGTTTTCTCTCCAAGTTATGGACAGACATCAGGCATAAATCATAGCACCTGGCATATGGCATCTGGGCTTACTGCCTGATAACATCTGGCATGTAGGGTTTTGGGGGATGTTGTGTTGTTTGTTTGTTTTGTAAAAACACATACACATACAAAAAATAAAATAACTGAGTTTTGTGACCCTATCACTCAACCTCTTGTCACCACCAGGTTGCCATTTTCAACTCTTGTAAAAGAAATTTTCCATCATTATTTGAGTTCTGGGAGGCAAGGGCACAGCCCCACAGTGGCAGGGCCTGGCCAAGCTCCTGCACCTCAGGTTTCCCATGTGGTTGCTAGTGACTCCATCACTGGGGCTGTGCCCTTGCCTCCCAGAAGCCCAGGGACCCCAGCCTGGGACACAACTGTCTGACCCGTCAGGCCCAGGGCTTGCCCCTATAAAGTAATTGCGGTGTTGTCAACTCCAGCCCTCATGTTATTGGACCTGTTGTAATTTATATGAACTTACTTATGGTTAGACACCTACACTAGATTTCATTGAATGAATGGTAGTGTACTCATATAACAGTAAGCAGCCATTGAAAGAAGATGTAGTGGAAGTATACGTCTTAGCCTAGAAAAGTGTTCATGGTTACATGGCAAACAAGGTGGTTTTAGGATCAGGTGCCTTGCCCCAATCTGTGTGGACGTTCGCTGCCACTGTCCTAGGGGCTTTCAGTTGGACTCGCCAAAGGGACTAGTCGGGTGCAGTTTCAGGCCTGGCCTACAAGCCTGATAGAGCAGGTGGAGGTGGGATGCAGCAGTTGGTGTCTTGAGCCGGGTCCCAGGTGACTGTTTCTGCCTGCCGACACTCCTGTTTCCGCCTGGACTCCTTGGCTAGCCTTGGGAGCACCAGCCGTCCGCTTTCCTTTCCGTAGATCCTAGCAAAGCCTTCTAAGCTGTAAAACCTTTCCTGATCCTTCCAGCACACCCACCTGGGCACTGGGCCGTCTCAGCCCTGGGCTTTGTGTCATACCCTGAGTGAGCTACCAAATAAAGCAACTGAAGTTTCTGGAACCCGAATCATGTTTACATTTTGGTCAAGAGGCACACTGAGCATTTTAGGCCTCTTAAGCACACGTGTTAGCTAGAGCTCTAAGGAAGTAGTCTTCCTAACACTGATAGAGGGAAAACAAACCTTGTTTACATTTCCTTTACCTTGGCATCCAGACTATGAAAACTGAATGTCCTGCGTGTTTGCTCTGCTCTAGGCCAGGCAGGTGCAGCCCATTTAGCTTCTGGCTTCAACCTGGCCCGTTGCCAGCCAATGCAGGCAGTTAGGGAGTGAGCCAGCAGATGAAAGGATATTTGGCTCACTGAACCTTTCAAATTAAAAAAAAAAAAACCCAGCCCATCTTGACAAGCAGTTAGTTAGGATGACATGCAGCCACGCACCTGCTGCGCTGGTCACAGAGCAGTCTTCAGTGGCGCGGGTATCCTGCCTAACTGCAGTCCATGCCGGGGCTTGCCGGGCATCCTTAGGGCTGTGGTCCAGGTGCTCCGCAGGACCCCTGCACTGCCCTGGAGCCGGGTCACACCAGCATTTGAATGCAGCCTCTGGGATCTTACTTCAAAAAGGATCTCCCCTCCATGTCCCATGTCTTACAGCTTTCCTTGTACTGACACCTTCCCAGTCACCTGCCAGCTAACTAATTACCTTTGCAGAAACCATGTTCATATCCTCATTTCTACAAGGTACTAGAAGTCAGAATGAAAAATGAGGAAATGAGGATATGAACATCTTGCAAAAATAAGACCAAGGTCATCTAGGAAGTGTCCAACTTAAAAAAAAAAAAATCAGGTTCTGAAATAAGTTAAATATTTGTGTTCCATGTCAAGTGTTTCCTTAATTTCTAGGGGGAAACGAAGAGCCTTTTAAGTTGAACGAACTTAAATCGCTTAGGTGTAACTTCGGTGAGATGAAAATGTTAAGACAGCGGGAGGTGCCAGCAATGTTTGTCGTCCAGTCCTGTTCTTCCAGAACGCATTTGTCCTTTCAAGAGTCAACTTAACATTTCTTTTTCTTCCCCATAAAGGTAGAAATCTGTGGGTTCTTGTTGTGGGCCGTTTCCCCAAGGAGCACAAAATTGGGATTCCGGACTTCAAATATGTGGCCAACATGCATGGAGACGAGGTATGTGTGTGACTTGGATTTGTGTAATGTCAGCAAAGGACTGCCCCTCTGGCTCCTGGGCCCTGGAGACAGGCTCAAGAGGAAGCAAGGGGTCTCAGACATGCAAATTGCTGCGTGGGTCTTCCTGGGAGTTTCCTATCACAGTTTTAGGAACCAACTGCTGTGCCTGTCAATTGGTCACGTACCCAGCGCCCTGGGCAAGTAACTGGAAGTGGTTTCTTTTATCAGGAGCTGGAAGAACAAGAGCGCCCACGTTCTGAGCCCAGCCAGCCAAGTTCCTGAACTCTCAGCTGGGCTAATTTTTCACTCTTTTTCCTCCCTCACCCTCAGTGTCAAGGTGACCCGGAAAAGGAACTGTGTTATGTTGACATGCAAAATGATCATGTCTGATTTTGGAATGCTTTTATCATATTGTCTCTAAATCAAAGGCACAGACACAGAGAGAGGAAGAGACAGAGATGTTGCACCTGCCTCTTCACTCTCCAAATGGCTACAGTGGCCAAAGCTGGGGACAGGCGCTCCTTCTGGGCGCACATGCGGGCTCAGGGGCCCAAGGTCTTGGGCCAACCTCCCCTGCTTTCCCAGACCATAGATGGGAAACTGAATTGAGGTGCAGTAGCTGGGACATGAACCAGCACCCATATGGGATGCCAGCCCTGCTGACAGATGTTTTGTCCCCTACCCCCGTCTCTGGCCCTTGTCATCACGCTGTCTTAATCTAATACTCTGTGTATTAATAGCCAAATTTATATACACTTAGGGATCTAATATCCACCATTCAGCAAATACTACTGAGTTCCATTAACAGTTTCTTTGCTTCTTCGTTACCTTAACACAGAAAGCTTATTTTATTTTTTCATTTTTCTTTGCAAAATACCCTGACCAACTTTGACATTCTGACCAGGAGTTGAAGAGGTTTCTTTCTGGGGCTGGTGCTGTGGCATAGTGAATACAAGCTGAAGTGCAGGCAACCCACATGACCACCAGTTTGAGTTCCATCTGCTCTGCTTCCAATCCAGCTCCTGTTAATGGCCTAGAAAAGCAACAGGGATGGCCCAACTGCTTGGGTCCCTGCACCCATGCGGAAGACCTGGGGAGGTTCCTGGCTCTTGGTCTCAGCCTGACTCAGCCCTGGCCATCGCAGTCATTTAGGAAATGAACCAGTGGATGGGCAAAACCTCTATCTCTCTGTAATTCAGCCTTTTAAATAAACAAAATATTTTTTACTTTTTATATTTTTCCTCATGTTTAACATTCCAAATGGAAAGCAGAAAATAATAACAAAGAACAAAAGAAAAGCAATCAGAAAACCTGTTCCTCAGATGTATAAACAAAAGCTGTACACTGTTATCAAATACCAGAGTGCTGCTTTCCTATCTAAAGAATGCATATTTTTTTTTTGTACTGTGTATTAGTTACACAGATCAGGGAAGACATTTGGCTTTGGGGGACTGGTTTATTTTACTGAACATGTTTTCCTATTGCATCCCTGAGTTGCAAAGGACAAGATTTTATCTTTTTTATGGCTGAGTAGTATTCCATAGTGTATATATACTACATTTGGTTTATCCAGTCATTCACTCATGGGCATCTGGATTGATTTCATTTCTTAGCTATTGTGAATTGATCTGCTATAAATCTTGGGAGTACAGGTAAATCTCAGGAGGGAGATGGCTGAGTCATTAAGGTAAAATCTATTGTCAGATATCTGAGGAATCACTGTCTGGTGTTTTATAATAACGGTTGCACTAGTTTACAATCCCAGACACTGAATTAGGATACGTTTCCCCACATTCTTACCAACATAGGTTTTTTTTTTAATTGTTAGATGATATTTTTAATTAACAATATTTAATTGTTAGATGATTATTTTTTGTAAAGATTTCTTTTTTATTGGAAAGGCAGATATACAGAGAGAAGGAGAGACACAGAAGGATCTTCCATCCACTGGTCTATTCCCCTCAAGTGTCCACAATGGCCAGAGCTAAGCCAATCCAAAGCCTGGAGCCAGGAGCTTCTTCTGGGTCTCCCATGCGGGTACAGGGTCCCGGTTTCTTCTAGGTCTCCCATGCTACTGCAGGGTCTCAAGGCTTTGGGCCATCCTTCACTGCTTTCCCAGACCACAAGCAGGGAGCTGGATGGGAAGTGGTGTATCTGGGACATGAGCCAATGCCCATATGGGCTCCTGACAGATGCAAGGTGAGGATTTAACCACTAGGCCTATTGTGCTGGGCATAGATGGTAGCTATTGTTACCTAGGGTAAAGTGGTACCTCACTGTGGTTTTTATTTGCGTTTGCCTGATGGCCAGAGAACCTGAGCATTTTTTTATGTCTGTTGGCCATTTGAACTTTATCCCTTGAGAAATACCTGTTGAAGTTTATTGCTCATTTCTTAAACTGGACTGTGTTAAGTTTCTTGAGCTCTTTATAGATCCTGGATTTTAATCAATTGCAAAGTTTATAAATACTACATCCCATTCTGTTGGCTGCCTCTTCACTTTGTTGATGGTTTTCTTTATGATGCAGATGCTTCTTAGCTTGATGTAATTCAATTATATGTTTGGTTGCTTGCCTGTACTTCTGGGGTCTTTTCTAAGACCTCTGCCTCTGCCTGTGTCTTGCAGTGTGTCTCTGGTGTTTTCCTCTAGTAATTCAGTATCCGGTAGCAGAGCTAGATCTTTGATTCACTTAAAGTTGATTTTTGTAAGAGGTAGTGAACTTGTTTCATGTTTGTGCATATGTAGATCCTATTTTCTCAGCACCATTTGTTGAACAGACTTTTCTCCTTGGATTATTTCGCTTCTCTTGTGAAAAAACTTAGTTGGCTCTAGCTCTGTGGGTTCATTTCTGGGGTTTCTATTTTGTTCCATTGATCTTCAGGTCTGATTTTGTGCCAGTACCATGCTGTTCTGATTACAACTGCCCTGCAGTACATGTTGGAAACTGATATTTTAATGCAAAAATATGAAAATATGTAAAACACAAAAACATGGAAAAATCTTCCATGTTCATGGGTTGGTAGAATTACTATAATCAAAGCACATGCTACCAAAAGTATTCTATAGATTCAATACAATCTCCACTCAAAATACCTAGGATATTTTTTGCAGAGCTAGAAACACACGAAACTGAATCTCATATGGAAACACAAGAGACCCTGATCAGCTAAAGCAGTCCACAGATGCGGAAAGTTTTTTTGATGTTTTGATATTTTTTTTTCAAAGTTTTGTAATTTTCCTCACATCCTTGGTTAAATTTACTTCGAAGTATTTAAATTTCCTTGCAGCTATTGTGAATGAAATGAAATTGATTTATAAATTCTTTCTCAGCCATGGAATTGTTTGCATATACAAAGGCTATTGAATTTTGTATATTTTTTTTTAAGATTTATTTATTTATTGGAAAGTCAGATATACAGAGAGGAGGAGAGACAGAGAGGAAGATCTTCCATCCTATGATTCACTCCCCAAATGAGCACAACGGCCGATGTTACACCGATCCGAAGCCAGGATCCAGGAACTTCTTCCAGGTCTCCCACAGGGGTGCAGGGTCCCAAAGCTTTGGGCCGTCCCCAACTGCTTTCCCAGGCCACAGACAGGGAGCTGGATGGGAAGTGGAGCTGCTGGGATTAGAACCGGCGCCAATATGGGATTCCAGGGCGTTCGAGGCGAGTACTTTAGCCGCTAGGCCACACCGCTGGGCCCCGAATTTTGTATATCTTTAATTTCTTTGTCTTGCCTGATGACACAGCTAGAACTTGCAGGATTATATTGAGTATCAGCAGTGAGAGCTGGAATCCTTTTCTGGTTCCAGATCTTGGTGGAAATGCCTCCAACTGCACACATAAAATGATGCTGTATTTTTCATGTGTTGCTTTGGTTGTGTTGGGGAATGATCCTTCTCTATCCAATTTGCTTACCGTTTTTACCATGAAAGGAAGTTGTATTTTCTCCACATCTATTGATCATCATATGGTTTTTATTCTTCAGCTTGTTAATGTGATATATCATGTTTATTGATTTGCATATGTTGAACTATCCCACAAAGCAGTCATAAATACCACTTGGTCTAGGTGAATGATCTTCCTGAGGTGGTGTTGGATTCCATTAGCTAGTACTTTGGGGAGGATTGTTGTTGCTGTATTCATTAGACATACTGATGTATAGGTCTTTTTGTTCTGATTATGGAATTAAGGTGGTGCTGAGGATTCCCCTAACCCCCTTGAATTACTTTTGAATAGTTTGAATTAGATCTTTATAAAATTTGATAGGAAAAAGTTGTGAGGTGAGTTTTTGGTGGAGCAGTATGCCCTTCCTGGGACACCCACATCCCATTTCGGAGTGCCTGGTTGTGCTGGCTCCCAAACCTGCCTCCGCTAGCACCCCCCTCAGGAGGCAGCAGTGACGGCTCACCTACTCGGTGCCTGCCACTTAGCGGCAGATCCAGACTGAGTGCTCAGCCTGGCCTAGCCCTGGCTGTTGTGAAATCTGGGTAGTAGACCAACAAATGAAGACTCTGTCTCTGCATTTCAAATAGAAGGAAACACCTAAATACCAGAATTGGGTGCCTAGAGCTTTATTCTTAACTAGTAGTAGACAAAGAAGAGGCTCTGTCTGTTCCCTTGACCCTGGGATCCATGGTCCTGGTCACTTTGCTAGTGGGTATTTAATGTGTGTGTGAAGTTTAACTGAATCATAATTCTGATTTGGAGTGTGAAGAGCAGTAGATTTTTTTAAACTGGTGCTTTAAGATTTACTTTGTAATTCTGACTTTCAAATAGAGAGTGAGTGGGAGAGACCATGTGGATAGTCTTCCATGGTCTTTCACTCTACGGATGGACACAATGACTGCAGATGGGCCAGTCTGAAGCCAGGAGCCTAGAACTTCTTCCAGGCCTTCCGTATGGGTGAAAGGACCCAAGTACTCAGCCCATTCTCTGCTGCTTTCCCAGACACACTGGCAGGAAGCTAGATAGGAAGTTAAGTAACTTGGAACAATC